CGCCTGTCCCTGCGCGCACTCCACGTCGATGGGGTAGCCACATGGGTAGCCAGTGGACTTCTCATTGTAGAGCAGCCCATCCGGACATATCTTCTCCTCGGCCACGCCGTTCTTGCACTCGATGTAGGCATCGCAGGACCCGGAGACGGGAGCCGTGCCATTTGCCTCGCGGCAGGCGCCAGCTGCTGCTTGGGCTGCAAGAGAGGCGGATAGGTTGGGGGTTAATAGGGTCGGGCTTGGGATTGGTTCGCGCTTACCTCTAATGATTTATGATGAAAACTGATGCTTCGATTATCCCTGCATTTTAACTTTTCAATCTTTATGCAAATGAACGAACAACTCAACGGCTTTAAGCAAAGCCAATTCTTATTCTATCAAATATATTTCGAATTTATATTTTGCGCGTATTAATTGATTTGGGTACGACCGATTTAGTTGCAATAAAACAAAAGCTTGATATAAAATTTCACTTAATAAAAGTCCAAAAATAACTCGGTCAGTATAAAGATTGTTGTTTCATAACAAAATATGTTTAGAAGGAAACTAAAGCTATTAATAATTTATATTAGCATTATTAATAATTATATTTAAATTTAAATGTATCATCAATATTGTTTTTATAATAAAATAATACAAAATAAATATGAAAATGTGTTTAATTCAGAAGTGGGCACAGCGCATTTCTTATTAATTGTGTATACAAATTTAAAACCAATTTTGCCCACATTAAGCAATAATTAATTAATTACTTTTAAGCAAGTCCTCTTATTATAAAAGACATCTATTCTGAGAAATTCAGCTCTGGAGCTCTTTCGCTTTGGGTCATGAATCATATAACCAGTTTTTTATTTATTCACATATTCGATTTAAAGATGCAGGGTATTTTCTACATTCACGCTATTACCTGCTTATCCCGAGAGAGTGGCAGGCAGTCAGAAGGAGAAAGAGTACAGTCAAATATTGGGCATTAATTAATTATTTAATGAGAAAATACAACAAGATCTTCGTCTTACAACAATCTTCGGTTCATTGAATATTTAATGCCCTTGTAGAAATTTGCCTTATGGTTTTTGCATACATGTGAGAACAGAGAAACTCGTAAATGCAGAGCTTGGTCAAGACATCTTGAAAAACAGCCAAGTTGTTATTTATATGGTTTTACATACATGTAAGGCGCAAAGTGGAACTAATAAATGTCGAGCTAAGTCTAAATATTTCGTAACACAAAAGCAATATGATGTAGTAGTCCGTTACGGCCGGCTCCAACATATGTATTGCCTGCAACAGAAATACGGACCTATGCTAAAATTAAATACTATAAGCCTTAAAAATGAAAGACTTGTTTGCATAAAAACAGACAAACTGTCAGGCTGACATGACTATACAAACTCGGCTGTATACATTTTATGGGGTCGAAGATGTCTTCTTCTATGCATTACACATTTCATGACAACATTATAATACTCTTATACTCGACAAGGGTACAAAAACCCTATTCGACAATACTTCTTAGTTACATACAAGCCATTCGAAAGATTTTAATGATTATCAGACCCATTCCAATGGGCGCTCACAAGTCAAATCTTGGCCAACAATACGCGTGCCAAGAGGCTAAGACGCGTACAAGAAAACAACATTAAATTGTCAAGACATGAACATATTTGGCTAAGTCGGTTCGTCGGTCTGTCGGTCGTCGGTCTATGTGACGCCTTTGTGACGCCTGAAATTTTAATGAGTTCGCGGTTATTAAATGTTGGTACACACCCCGTTTGTTGAACCCGCGTGGGCATCCATTGTGTCTTGGAATTCGAATTATGTTTTGTATACAGCCGTGCCAAAAGACCACATAACACATTTAAGCTATTTATTATGTTATTTCAAAACTGGGCTGGGGAAGTCCCTGCTGTTTTGACTCAGCAATAATATAAATACCAACAAAGCTAATGAAAAAAATGCTTATAAATAAATTAAAAGAATATTAAAAATATGTAAGCTACTGCTACTAATTTGTCAAGCGAAAGATATTCTCAATAATTTAAAAAAAATCTGAAAAAAAGTTTGATTCATAAGAACTTTTAAATTAATTTAACTAGATCAAAATCAACTAATACTATAATATTTCTTGATAATCGGAAGATAACAGGGAAATCGAGCGACATTTAATTTGTGCTCGTCAAAAGCCTAGTCTTTGGGCTTAGTTCTCCCGCTTCAGCTTGACAAATGGCTTTTCCATCTATTAAATCTCATCTGGCAAATTCAGTAGCTCAACATTTTCCCACACATTTGAAGTCAACAACATTCACTTGATTCCGCATATGCGGCTGCATACTTTGATTGCAGTGCAACGCAACATTTTAAAACGAATTCAATGAGGTGGCCAAAAAAAATAACACAACAAAAAGCTGCTGAATGCAAAAGCTCTCAAAGGTCACATCAACCGGCTGGGCACGCATCGAGATCGAGATTCATATAGCAGGCCGCTGTCCAGTTCGAAAACGAGTTTCTGGGCACATCTATAAACAACGTGGTCCAAGTAGCAGACGCAACAGCAACAGCAAACACAATGCCAGCATCAGCAGCAGCAGCAGCAGCAAATGTTATGTAATATTGATTTTGGGTACTAATTTATATATGCGACGCTCGAGGCGTGTGAATTTATTGTGAAAGAGCTGCCATGTGGCCTTGAAATGAGATTGATTTAACATTTTAAATGAAATGCAATCGGCGCTTTAATAAATTTGCTAATTTGCTATGCGCCCTATGCGGAAATCTAATTCGTTGTAGTAGCACTGTTTTTTGACAGTTTTCATCTCATGCCATTTCCTGGTATTGTTGGAAAATCCATTCAACATGGGCTGGCTGCCAGTGGCAGTTGCCTAATTGCGCGATGACGCTGCTCGATCAACTAAACTACCGTCACATAGGTATAATTAAAGCGAATTCCGTGTGCAGCTGGGAAAATGCGTTGGTGTTGCGCGTTTGTTAGGTGTCTCAGGGGTTGGGACTTAAGTGCGCGGCGCGTTCATTTCGAAATTTTAATTGTGTCGCCTCCAATTGATGCAATTACTATTGTTTTGAGTTTGAGAGAGAGTGTGGCATTTAAATCTAGCTAATCGTTTTATTAGCATTTGTTTCAATAATTAAAAACGTAACTAAATAAAATTATGTTTAATTTAATTTTAAAAATTTGTAATTCTCAAAATGCTAAAATATAATATAAAGACAATTTTAAATGTGAACAGTTTCAGCCAATAATAATATAATCTGATATACGTTAATAACGGATCCCAAATCTTAACTAGGCTCATCTGCGTTTAATTAAATATATTTTTTAAAAAATACGTTTCGATATATATATATATATTTTTTATTTTTTTTTTATGTTAATCCGGTATTTGATTTAAATTTTTATATGAACAAATGGAATAAATTAAAATACCTCGTTAAGCTCAAAATGTCACTTCTGACGAGTTTGAGAATAACCTGATATGATTATATTTTTAATTTGAATAGTTCATTTTGTTACTTTGTTTCATCTTTTTTTTTTCTTTTTCACAATTTTATGACGTTAAATAATTTGCCATCTTGCACAAGGCGAACACTATTTTGTATTTACTCTTTAATTATTTGGGCTTACTAATAAAACGCATTCGCTTAAAGTGTACCCAAAACCAATTTTAGTTCTGACAGATGTGCACAAGTTTGTTGCCTAAGTCTTTCGTTTCGCTATGAAATGTTTGTGTATGGAATTTTATTGTCACTTACCCAGCGAGCCAAACATGGCCAGACATAACAAAGCACTGATGATTATTTTCGCCATATTAAACGTAAATGAGTGTGTGTGTGTGTGTAGGTGGTTATCCTTCAAGTGTAGTCCTTAGGCACTACGTTCCGTTTAGAGACGGGAAGCGAGCGCGATGTGCAACCAACGAGCAGACAATTTCGACTGTTTTGCGATAGATACGAGACGCAGATCTTAACTGGTAAAATGGCAAGCGACGCCGACAGCAACGCTGATGAGCATGAGCTGAGACTCGGGCTGACGCAGTTGCTGATCTTCTTCTACTTCAGTTACGTATACGAAAGCGACAACTTTTGTCGCCTCGGCCGTTCGCTGGTGCTGTTGCAATAAAAACAAATATGTTAATAAATAACCAAAGCGCATAACAACAACAAAAAACGAGACGAGCGAGCGAGCGAGGCAGCCGGCAGCTTCTAGCAAAGGCCCAGCGCCATCAATTCGACAAAAAAAAGCTCGTCTCGCTCGAGATGAGTCAGTGGCAGAGCAAGATACCAACAGGTTGTTTTAGCTGAGCTAGCAACTGCGTTAATATTAATCAAAATTTGTGCTTAATTTATGTTAAATAAATGCTTAAATGCTATCTATCGTATTTGCATTTTTGGCACTCTTATTTTCGTTTAAAGCCACAAAATGAAACAGAAAAAAAAAGATCTGGCAGAAAACCAGAAAAATTCAAGACAGCTCTTAAAGTCAAGGACGGGGACGAGCTGCGCCCATGCCCATGCTCGAGCCTACGGCTGTGCCAAGTGCGGGGCTACACCATTGTCTCAGATTCGGCACGGCGCTGTCTTGGCTAATCTGGTCTTGAATTCAGCTCTTAACGTGAGCAGCTTTGGAGATTTTTCTTCAAAGATTCAAAGAAAACCAACAATATGTTTGCTAGCAAGATTAGCTAAAAAGATATTAGCGTGTCTTGCATTAGAAATTGATTCTGTGATGTTATTCATTAAAAACAAGACATAATTATTTTAAATTGCAAATGAATTAGTCTTGGGCCAGTGTTTGATTATACTAAGTTAGGATAGTTAGATCTTACTATAACATGTATATGTATATAAATAGATAGAGTCAGATAGAGTCTAAAAACTTCTTAGAAAAGATGATAGAAAAAGAATTAATATTTGTTAGCAAATATTAATAAAAAAAGATTTTAAACAACTCACCTTGCAGTTATTTTATTAAATACGCAAATCATGTGTTTCATTTTAAACTGTTTTTATTTTTATTTTTACAATACTTATGCGTAGATATATTTCACATCAGTTTGTGAACTTTCTTACATTTCAGCTAATAGTCCTTGCTCAGCAATTGTCGCGTAGTTCACGCCAAAAATCTTAGAAATCAAATAAAGATTGAAGCGATTAAATGCTGTGCTCAAATGAATATATAAAAGGCCTAGGACTGTAGTGGACTTTGTTATATTTATGGCCTAATAAAGATTTACGATAATGAAAATACTTCCTAGTGCTGGACAGTAATATGTAATATTCAATTAAATAAAAATAATAATATTGTATAATAATAGTTTTTTAAACATAATATTGGCAGGCTAGCTATAAGAAGACTCATTCAATAGTGCATGACTTCGACTAACTGCAGCTTAAATATCAAGTCGTTCTGAAAACCATAACAAAACGTTTTGTTTAAGTAAATCAATTGTTGTAATTCTCACACACATACATATATGTACAAATAGCTTAATTCACTTTGATGTACACAATACATGAATTTATATATAATTAATTACTATTAATTATTTACATACAAAAATAATGCTCTTTGTTTCTTACGAAAATCGTGTTACACTTATGTAATTTGGCCTGAACAAAATGCCGATAAGCCAACACAACAAAAGGTGTCTGTGAATTATTTATAAAAATACAACGAAAATACAATTCACTGCCGCATTACCTACGTTTTTTTTTCTTTTATATTTTTCTTTTTCTTATTTCTTTTCGATCTCTAAGGCACTTTAATACTTTATCAATAATATATGTTTTTTTTTTTTTTAATTTTATGTTTTTGTAACAGTTTTGTTTTGGGTCTATTTAAGCTACTTTCTCAATAGTTTTTATTTTATTTATTTGATATTGATTTTTAATTTATATTTATTGGGATTTTACTTTTGTCTGGCTAATTGAAATTTATCTGGATGTACTAACTTTTTGTAACAGTTGAGCGCATAAAATTGTTTAGCGAATTGAAAAGTTACTGCTAACTGATTTAATTGTAGACTTATAGATAGACATACAATAGATACAAACACCAATTGATTTTTTTCTTTTTTTTTTTGTATGTTGTTCCCAAGACACTCTCAAAAATGTTTTCACATTTTCACAATTCACAATTGCTTCGGCAATTGTCACATTTCCAACTGTCAACTCCCAACAAAAAAGCGCCCTTTAATTTCTATATAGTGGGTTTAAGGCCTGAACAACAAACCCCTTATGCCAAGATTTTAGCATGTGTTTGTCTATATATTCCTCGTTATGTTTTTAACATTTATATGTGCACAAGTTTGACTTTAAGTTCAACACTAAAAAAAAAAAGCATATACAAAACTAGTTTAATGCATATGATTTTCAGTATGTTTTTAGCTTGATTTCAATTCGGTTCGTCTCTTACTGCTTAGGTTTTAATTAAATTTAATTAATGCTCAAATTAATCTTCGCCTTTACTAGTACAAATATCACGGTTTGCATTTACGCATTACGCTTTAAAACGTATTTTTAATTAATTGTTTTGTTAATTGTTTAATTTTAGGCATTAACTTGAACTTCATTCCCAAGATTTGTATAGTTGTATTTTGTTATATTCTCTTTTAGTTCTCTAGATACTCGTAAGTCTGTACGCATTATACGTATGTAATTTTTCATTTTTCAGCATTCTAAGTTTAAACGTTTTTAATTCTTTTTTGCAATTTCTCAAGTCTATTTAATTCTTGTAATAATTAAACCTTGGCTGTCTAATTTTGAAATTAGTTTCAACTAGTTTCTAAACCTATTTGTTGCCCATTCTATTCGCTTTGAAACTTAAGACGGTAGACGGTCCAGTTGGTGACCCACATACAAATATAAATGGTTAGACTATTGTGGCTAGGAATCTCTATATATAGTATGTAAATATCTTGAAGAGCTAATCCACCTAACAACCATTTGATGGCAGCTGGTATACAAAAAATGGTATGTTCTTCGTTACGGGGACAATGGGTAAAAATACTTGAGTGTTCCAAGAAAATTGTTGAAGGGAAGCAGAAATTAAGACATAACTGTAACTAATTGTAATGAAATTCCATTCACGATAAATCTGCTAACTAACTTAGACAGGACATAAATTAAATGGCTTAAATAAAAATTGGAAGTAGGACTTAAACTAAATCATAATGACTGCCCGTGAGCACAAGGGCAATGCAGCCACTGGACAGCAGAGGCATTTTTTGCAGTCCCAATGGGATTCCTGCCTCGGATCTGTGTGGATGGCGCATTGCTTGAAATGATATGAGCCAATGTGAAGATCAAAGCGCTTAAGAAAACTCTTGAGCTGTTTCCGGTGAGGACTCACCCATTCCAGCTGTATGGCAGCTCCTGGCTAACTAACTTTAATCAGCATTTACAAAAAGAACCAACAACTAGCTACGTTTAACGTACTTAAGCCGTGCTCCTAAGGCTTCGCTTATGCATAGAGTAGAAAAACACCCGCTCCGAACTCTTCTGGTCTATAAACCTAAGTAATTCTCTAAACCTAAGCTAACTAACTAACACTAACTAGGCGTTAAATACACACACCCACACACACACACACACACACAATGCTAATGCCATTAGGAAAGGCCTCCGAAATAGTAGTCTATAGAAGGGCTTCGACATCGGCATCGGCATCGGCTTCTATAGCATTGCGAATATAAATTGTGTGCTTAGCTGTTTTTGTTTTTTCAGTAGTTGTTGTTGTAGTCTTTTCGCAAACGTCTCGCTTGAGGAAGTCGGTGCTCAACTGTGCTTCAGGATTAGTTACTATATCGCACAGCCCTTGCGCATGCCGTACATGATCTTCAATTCCGGATATATGATCTTGCGTATCAACTGATTCGTCTTGCCCGCCAGCATCGCCCGCCGATTGTCCTTTTTCAGCACTTTGATGCCCGGCTTGTGCACCAGAAATGCATTGTCCAGTATGTGGAACTCGTAGTCCAGCACGCACAGCGAGTAACCCTGAAGATCCGATTAGACACAAGCCCAAATCTACATATATGAACCAGCAAACTCACCTGCGTCATCTTGTCGCTCTTTCCCTCCCAGCTGAGCCGCTCATCGTAATGGGGATCCGCATGGGTGCCAATGTAGATGGGCTCCCAGTGCACATAGTAGCCGGTGCGTTTGCCTATGTGAAACACACTCAGCTCGTCCGTCTCATTCGCAGCCATCCATTCCTTGGACTTGGGCACTCCGTGGCAACTGGCGCACACTCGCTTGTGGAAGGGTATGGCCTTGCCGGTGCGCAGAAACTCCTGCAGCTCTGTTTTATCGTGCGGCACCGGTGAATTCTCATCCACCTCGAATATGCTGAGCGGAAATACTCTGCGGAATGGAAAGTAAATTAAATTAGTTTATTTAGTTATTTCCATAAATACTAAGTACTTGATAACTACTTGAAACTGACTTTCAAGTAGTTGGGATAAGTTTTAAGGAACGATGAACATATATTAATACAATTTTAACTAATTTGTGTCAATATTTATAATCCTGAATTTATACTTTATTGCTTTGTGTGAGATAGTCTCTAATAAATTCTTCCTTTTATTCAAATTTTTACTCAACATTTTCTGAATTCACCGATATACCTTCAGAAATATTAATTTCAGAAATATTTCATATCTGATATTAATTATTCAGATTTTCACAGCATTTATATGCCTATTATTTATCTAGTCTAGTCGGAAAACAACAATATGTTTCAGAGGTAAGAGTTTTCTCTTTCTGTTTCGTCAGTTTGTCAGTTTTCTAATACTCAATTTTGGCATAATAAACCGTTGTGTTGTACATACATTTTAGATAAAATATTTGACGTTAAATTGATTTTCTATAATCGCACTTGTTTTGACAAATAATAAAATTTCGAAATAAATAATTGCAGTTCCTTTTTAATCATTCCAACTATTTAACAAGTTTAATAATACTCATTAAAGAAAGTGTAATCAATTTCTAGTAAATCGCAATTGGATTTCAAGTCGAAAAAAGTGCAAAAGTTTGAAAATTTCTATTAAAGCAAATCAATAAGCTGCTCGTCTTCTTATATATTTGGAGTGCTTCGCCTACTCGCAAATGCCCAGCATATTAAATAAAAAATATAAAACTTACCTGGGCGCCTTCCGCCGCAGATACTGCTCGTTGCGAGCAATCATCTCAAGGAATTTCTTGACCAGTCCGGGATTCGGATACAGTTCAATATCCGAGGCGAGGATAAAGTGTGTGAGCGCCGCATCGCGTGCAATGTTGCGACCCACGTTGACTGGGTAGAGTAGCTTCTTCTGCGCCTTGTACAGATGCCCGGAGCTGACATTGAAGTACGGCGCAGGCAGCGAACAGTTGTAGCCGGTCTTGAGCGCATCCTGTGCCTTGGGCACGCTCTTGGGTATGTGCTTGGTGCCAAAGTAGACGTGAAAAGTGGCAAAGGAGCGCACCAGCTGGTTGCCAGGCACGCAGTCCCGCAGATACTTGATGGAGTCCAGTGTGGGCTGGAAGTCCGTGCCGGGCGCATGCATTGCTATGCTAATAGGTGCGTTCCAGCTGTATGTGTGCGGGTATGTTAGTTCAGTTGGATAGAATAGACAATGATAGGAGGGCTTACCGTTCCAGCAGCGGCACCAGATTGTCCAGAAAGGTGTAGTCCGCGTGCGTTGTGTAGGTAATGGACTCGTGGCACTTGAGTTCGCCATGATCGGCCCTCACATAGTTCTGCAGCACCCAGAAGTCACCGCGTTGTAGCGTCTGCTGGTTGTAGTCGTGCTCAAAGCAGTTGAGCAGCGTCCGCACGCGCTCGTCCAGCTCCTTCTCGTCGCCGGTGACTATGTAGCTGTCCGGCTGTGTATTGTTGAGCTCTGCGGCAGCGCTGCTGCTGCTGCCGCCGACTCCGATGTTGCCCACAACCTGACCAGGATCAGCTGAATTGGGCTGCAAGCCGCTGCCACCTCCACCGCCACCGCTGTCGTTGACCACTGGGGGCGGAGGAGCCGCAGCTGCCACAGGCTCCGAATTGGCATTGCCTGTGGCTGCTGCGAGCACCTTGTCCTCTGCAAAGGCCGCCTCTGACTGCACAAGGAATAAGACAATTTTAAATTCATTTTGCGTTTTTATAACTTGAGTACTTACATTCACATTTTTCGGCGTGGGCTGCTGTTGTGGCAGCAAGGGAGAAGCCTGCAGGGAGGCTGCCGCTGGCTGTTGTTGCTCCTGCAACATGAAGCCGCCGCCGCTGGTGAAATTGTTGCCTCCGCCATTCATCAGAATGCAGCCTATGTACAGTAGGACGGCTACGTTGATGAGTATGCTGCAGCGCAACAGCCAATTGCGGCGTGTAAACATTTTCTGACCCAGCGGCTCAAAGCGCATGTTGAAGCTGCAAGCAGATAATTGTTAATTAATTAATTTAATTGAAAACATTTCAATTTAAATTAATAACAGTCTGCTGTTAACAAAAGCGCCACCTATACTGTTATCTTGGTACTAATGCTATTCACAAGCGTTGCCAACTGTTCGCAACTGCGTACGCTGTTATTGCCAGCAATCCAAACACAACTCGTGACAAGCGAAACTGCTGCATGTTAAGTGACTAGCAACTATAAGGCAAGTGCCTGTGACTGTTACCCTCTGTTAACTCTCTGTTAACCGTCTGTTCCAGCTATGCTATGGCAGTAACGAGTACTTCTGTAAATATCGCGCATCTCTATACTTAGCCATTTTGAGTACAACAGCTGTTCAGATCGGCGCCTTTTTACTGCGGATGGCGCATAAGTTGACAAACTAAATACAATATTGTTAAATACTTAATATATTCATAGATACGCACACAAAATGTCTTTGCAACAAGCTCTAGATGATTGCCTAATCGACTTCGACAGACGTGTGCTGGTCACCGATTTGCTGGAAGAGTACAAATTAACATATAAAGAAACTCACGAACTGCTCGAGGCGCACATTAAACAGCAAGAAAGTGCAAGTGCCACCAAATACGAGAAACGCTTTCTCGTCCATGGCATGCAGGCAGCTGGGGACGGTGAGCTGTATACGATTGTGCAAGGCGAAGATAAACTGAAGGAATGGCTGACCAAATTACAAAACGCGCAATCCCAGCTGTATTCAGTGGAAGTGGCTGGCGGCTCCAAGAGCGCTGCGCCTATTTTCAAGCCCATGCAGCATGTGGAGGTGCAGTTGGCTAAGCTGGAGCAGCGAGCGGGCGCCACGCCGAAAGGAGTCACCAATGGCGTGAGCAATGGTGTCCACAATCCCTCAGATATATCAAAGCCGTCCAGCATTAAGGTGGAGCAGTCAAGGCCTAGTGCCACCAAAGTGGAGTCTGCCGCGCCCGCAGAGCAGCATAACAAAACATCACCGAGCGAGCAGAAGAGCAAAGCAAAGGCACCAGCAGCAACTGCGAAAAAGGGTAGCATCGGCAGCTTCTTTAGCGCGGCTCCGGCGGCTAAAACGCAGCCTGCCAAGGAAACCAAAGCAGCTGCCACCAAACCTGCCGCCGGCAGTATGGAGAACTTCTTTAAGAAGCAACCAGCGCCCAGCAGCAGTCAGGCAAAGGAAAAAGAAGCAACGTCTGCCAGCAACACCTCCGTTCAGCTGTTTGCTGAGGAGAGCGAACCCTCCTCCGACGAGGAGGAGAAATTGGATAAGCTGCGACGCAAGGTGGTCGGTTCAGGGGACGAGTCAGACGAGGCGGACGCGAAGCCAGCAGGTAGCAAGCGGCGTCGCATTGTGGACTCCGACGATGAGGAGCAGCCACAAAAGAAATCAGCTGAACCGCAGCAGGAAAAGGAGGCAGAGGAGCCAATGGAAGTGGAGGCGGCGACAAATGAAACCTTTCTAGATGATGATGGCTTTGTTATAACTGTAAAGGCCAAGAAACCAATGCAAGCGGCCAAGAAAAAGGCTTCGCCGACAGCAGCAGCAGTAGCATCAGCAAAAGCTGCAGCTGCATCTGCACCAACTACAAAGAAAAAATCACCGCCGTCGGCACGCAAAAGCACAAAAGAGACGCCTAAAAGCAAACAGGGTAGCATCACGAGCTTCTTCAGCAAAAAGTGAATGCGCCCCCAACTAGTTTCATGGCTTGATTATATGTAACAATTACTGAGATTAACAAATCAAAATGCTTGCATTCCCGAAATACACACGAAATACTACAAATTATTATATGTATAATTTATATTAAATTAAATTTTTTTTCTTAGTTTTCTCCCATTGATTATGTTACACAAACTAAGTTCACAAATAAAAATGCTTGCATTTACGAATTACACACGAGATGCTAAAAAACATTTCAAGTTTTACATTAAATTGAAGGTAATGAAAAACTTTAAGGTTGTTTTTAGGGTTTTATCTATTTAAGTCTTAGTCACCCACAATTTGTTATTTCAATTATTTTTCTCGCTAATCTCAACACGAATATAAATCTCCAAACACAAGTGGAACTTTTTTTTCTGTTTAATTTGCGTGATCTTGCCTTTTTTTAGTGGCTTCCATTATCAGACCGTCTGCCCTTACGGACGTCGTACTCGAACTGTTCCATATCTGGTCAGCGAGTGTTCTTATAAATTTAGGCGTCCTACTCTGCGCTATTTGCATTGACGCTTGTTGTTTTTTTCTTTATCGTGCGTCATGAATGTTGCGCTACTTGTTGCCTCAGTAAATGACACTTGTTTACTCTTGGAGCCAGCTTATCAATTTGCTACTTCCGATTGCGGAATGATAAGCGCTGTTTAATTAGTCCACATTGCTACAGTAAAGGTAGATTCTATCCTTACTGCAACATTTATCATTCCTTTTAATGTTGCAATTTGAGCTTTACAACAAAAACAAGTTTTGCATTTATTTTGCAACCTAAAATACGAGTGCAACGACTTTTCGAGTCAGACCAACGGGCGAGATGTCATCAGCATTACTCGGAGTGGCAAAAAAAAATAATAAAATACCGCAGAACAGGAAGCGCGAAATTAGCTGTTTCTGTTTTACTCTTATTTTTATTATTTTTTTTGGGCACTTTGCTTAAAGTGCCGCCAGAAATTTAATTAGTAACGGCATCAACAACAATTAGTTGAGATTCCCACATTAATTACGCAACGCTCTTAACTGTGCCCCAGGTGAATCATGTTCTTAAAACACACATTATTCTATAAAATTCCCTTAAAAATGAAAACTTGTTGAAATGAAGCGAAGTTTTTCACTTTTTTACCTAATTATTTAAAAATATTTATAATCAAATTCTTGAAGTGTTTTAAAATTCATAGATTGCAGTTGCAAAAAACATCTAGAATTGGTAATCGGCTTTTAATAGATGTAAGGAGGCAGTGTTTAAATTAATTCGTTTCCCAAAACAGCAACACAAATTTAGTTAACCCTTAAAAGAAAAACATGAGGTTTGCAGACGATATTATTATTCTAATTCATTCTTGATTAGCGTCAACAGTCGGGTTGATATAGTCAAGTCCGTCTGTCCATCTGTCCGTCTTTCTTTTTCAATGCAAAGTAGTCTAGACACTTTGCATACGTCCGTCTTTCTGCTGCAGGCAGTACACATGTCTGTCGGATGGGAATACTATATAGATGGCTTAGGAATGATCGGTCGAAAATTAAGTTCCTGCCATCAAAAAGGTCTGTTTTTTTCTAGATACCGCGAAAATGAAGAATTTGTATGAAACACTCTTTTGTTAAACAAGATTTCTTACACAAACTGAACATTTATAAGAATCGCTATGCTGCTTATATGCGCCTATCAAGGTATATCTTTAGCGGAAGTTCGGTCGGTACTCTGTGCTGTATTTTGATTTCCAAGATATTTTTAAAAAATTCAGCAATTATGAGCTACACTAGTCTCTCATATCTGCAAGACATAAGCCAAATGTTTACAAGGCTTTTATATCTTCGGCGTAATATTTATGTTATATAAGATCAAATTAGGGTAGAGTTATGACGAGCAAAGGTGGAAAAATAGTAACTGAAAGAGGGAAATGGATGCACACTTAAGGTTGGAGAGACAGAGCTTCTGAGAAGAAAGGATCGACACAAAGACAGAGTGGCAGAGATTCCCGAAGAACAAGAAGCATAGCAAAAAACTGGGTCAAATATGTAAATCATTGGCAAAAGCTCAAAGAAATACAAATATTGATTATTAAATAAACAAAAGTGAAGATACGTAAATTTGGCATAAGCTCGGACACTTTCGAAAGCGTACGCACAACAGTTAAGAGATCTCGGCTGCAATTGATGTGCTATTATTTTAGTAATTCATTCTTTTCTTTATATATTTTTTGGCACTTGCGTGTGCTCATTAGCGCAGAAAAAGTATCATTCGAATACAAATTGAACGGTCGCTTTCGAGCTAGAGCTGCTCCATTCATTAGGGGCTCCCCTGGGGGCACACGCGCGCCCGGGCATTTTACACGCATCATTGGAATCGCTGCCGTCGCTGTCACCGCCGACGGAGTTGATGGATTGGAGTGAAAACTGCGAGATGTTTCAAGTTCAATGCACCGTCTTGACTGATGGCCCACTCCCCCCTCCTCCTCCCGCCGCCACGAAAGGGGGTCTGCGGTAGGTGATTTTATCAGATACTTCTTGGCAGGTATGCGGAAAAAAAAGTGCCACTGGTTTTTGTGTGTTTCTGGGACACGGGGCTCAGTATGGGACTGGATTGAGTATATGTGCTGGATAAATTTGCATAGCCTGCGGCCAGTTCGAGTCGAACGCCTCGGGTAATCCGCACTGTCGCATCAGCAAGCCACGCGCACAGGAAACCAACGAGAAATCAGCATCTGAATCAGAATGAGAATCTCGTCAAGCTGCGCACTGCCCGCCGGGCAATTTGATAAAAATCTTTTGCGCGCGCTTCGCAACAAGTCTCTTCTGGTTTGGAGTTAGAGTTCCTCTCTTTTATGGTCACATTTGCCATCATAATAATCGTGTGCAGAGTTCAATGGCAGGCACTTCTAGCGTTCCAGTGGGTTGCTTGGCGGGTTCTTAAGCATGGCGTCGCTTTTATGGCCCCGCTCGGCCCACTCAGTTGCTCTGGTGATTATGCAAAACACAAGAGCGTTCCATAAAATTTGGAGCAAAACGTGAGAATTTTTATGAGTTTTCAATTTGCCAATTGCACAGACCCGAGCGGCCCAGAAGTGCGACACACGTTTTTACCATTTTCGATTGTTTTTAATTGTTTACTTTTTATTTGCAGTTCTTGTCTGCCTCAAAATGTTGCCTGGCAACAACGTCGCGAGAATGACTGATGAGGCATGGGTTAAGAGTTTGGCAATCGACTCATTGAAATATGAATATTTAATTAGGTTTCTTAATGAAACAGGTTAAGAGTATCTTGGGGCGAACAATTGATAAAAA